GTGGGGCTGGACGGGGTTTGCAACCTGCACCTCCCTCTTGCTAGGGTATGGGTAGGGTCACCCCCAACCCAACCCAGAGGAGGAGGAGTCTTTGGATGCTAGGGCAAGGCTAGGATAACCCTACCCCAACTGCAGTTGACAAAAGTCTTTGGAGGAAGGGCTGAGGAGCTGAAAGGGATGTCCTCTTGCACATGGTACTGCAGAGACCTAGAAGAGGTATAGCATCAGAAGCTTGCCCAGAAATTTTGAAGTAGCACCCCAAGGCTGGCAGCGTTGCCCCAGAGACCTGTGCTTGCCTTGCAGAGGGATCCGTGTGGGGTACACCCCCGATGTCCTGACCGACGCCACTGCAGAACTGTCTGTAGCTTTACTTCTGGCTACGTGCCGCCGGCTGCAGGTAAAGAAGTGAGTATCGGCAGCTGCCAGCTGGAGCAAGGGCTGGCTCCTGAGCCTGGCAGCCCCCAGGTTGAGAGCTGCAGGAGAAAGCATGCCACACTGGACAGATGAAACGGGGCTGAAGCCAGAGTTTCACATGGCTTGCACCAAACTTCTTACAGGCCAAGGTCGAGTCCCCTGCAGTTCTGACACTCTTTGGAGACGAGCTGCTCAGGGGCTGTGAGAGGGGCAGAACTCCCCTCTGTGTGCTAGGTAGAGGACCTGTGGGAGAGGGCACCCAAGGCCACTGCAGACCCCTTGAGGAGGGCGGGCGTGGAAGGTCTCGCCAGAGCTCACTGACTAGCAGTCATTCCAGGGGTGTGGTTAGCAGTGCCTAAATTAAATGAGTCTCAAGGCTGCTGCTGTGCACCCGAGGTCCAAGCAGATTCCTGCAGGAGACCAGCGAGGTCACTTGAAGCAGGAGCCTCAGAGAGGCTGGCTGTAAGGTGATCTGTCTGTGTCAGAGGGGCTGGCTGCCCACAGCGTTGTACTCTGGCGTACTTGCCCAAATGCTGGTCTGGGCTATGAGCAGGCCCTCCACTGCTGCTGTCTGACATCTGTTTCTATCTCACTCTCTCTGCTAGTGGTGGCTGGACAACGTGGAAGCCCTTATGGATGTGTGGCTATGGTCTGTCTGATAGTACGGTGGGCATCATAGGTCTGGGGAGAATAGGTAAGTGCAGGTCAGGCACAGGATTTATGTGTCGCCAGTGATGGCAGGGTGGTTTTGGAGGTTCAGCCAAGGTGGTGTCCCCGGTGCTCACCTCTTTAAAATCTATGAGGGCAACAAGGAGAGCTGTGTAGAGCCTCTCTGAACAGCTATCTTGACTCATCAGGCCTAAACCTTAAAAGTTTAAAGCATTCAAACACATCCACTACATCTGAATGCTACAGCAAACTGGACGTCGTCCTCTTGATTTTCAGTTAAACAAATGCCTTGACAAAGTCCAAGATGACGTGCTTGTCATCCGTTCAGTTGTGGACTTTGTCAGCAGATGGGTATTTTTTTCCTCACTTTCCAGTTTGCTCCCTAGGGTAGCTTCAGGTTTAATATCCTGCGACTCCCTTTCCACAGTTTTACTC